ATTGTATAATCGTTTTAAAAATCTCCTTTATTTGGTATTGGATATCTAATCCATTGTAAATCATCGTTAAGTGGCTTATAATTGATTACTAATCATGGTACGCCTCGTTCTTTTTCAGCTTGGTTATTTACATAGAAGGCCGAACAGCTCCAAGGGGATTTTGATGGCCTTATTAATTTTTTATTGAGTAAATTATTTATTTCTTTTTTACGAGTTTCTAATAATTTTTTATTCATTTGAATAGGTCTTGTTTTAGTTGGTATATTTCTTTCACTAAATTCTTTTATGTATGGAAGTTCAACAGTATATTTTTTTTTTCCCAAAAAGCATTTGGTAAATCCGAACATATTTGATTTAGTAAATCATTTTCGTTAGATTTTATCTTATCTTTTATATATAGCGTATTAAGTTGTTCTTCTATTTTCTTGTAGGTTATTTCTTCTTGTAAATGTTGAATATGACTTTGTTTTCCTTTTATCAAGTTTTTTGTTTTATGAATTGTATTATTTTGAAGACTTAGAATTTCATTGGTCTTCATGGGTGATAAAAAGTAAAATAATAGTTTTGTTCCTACTACTTTGGTTGATATACCTGTTTCGGTTACTTTAAATGGGTATAATTGAGTAAAAAATGGAGTTCCTATTTATTACTTCTTGAGTTAAGGTTTTGATTAGAATGAATTGGTTTGTAAAACAATAGTCTTGATTACATATTTTTGCACAAGGTAATTTATATTGTACTTTCAAATTACTACTATTAGCACCGCTTAATCTTTCGGTGGTTTGTTCATAATATTTAGTTGAAATAATATCCTCACGGATGCAGTTATAATCTGCTCCAGTATCCATTAATACTATTATATTTATTTTAAAATCATGTCCTACATGTAGAGTAATATTCGTATACCATTTTTGATAACTAATTTTATTAATTATTTGAATATAGTCTTCAGTATTTTGTTCTTCTTCATTACCTTCTAAATTTTGATTACTTGATGATGCTTGAGTAATATGGTTTTTTTATTCGACTAAAGATAATCTTGCATCTATTTGTAATTGTTTAAGATATTGCTGATTAATAGTTAATTGTAATTTTTTAATCTGTGATTTTTTTGCTTAATTTCGTTTTGTAATTCTCCTGTTGATACTTGTTTAGATAAACTTTGAGTTGGATATTTTTCAAATATTTTATTGAGACTGAATGGTTATGAAAACGGGTTGGGTTGTTTCATAAACAATGTATATTCTGGTAGACTCTGTATATTATTTTACCTTTACTCTTATAATTATCCGCGTATCGGTGAACTGTTCATTCTGTAAAATAAGATACAGAGTATATCTGAACAAGATGTACTCTAATAAAATATCAAGACATTCTA